GCTGGCTGCCCTGGAGAAACGCGTGTGAAGAGCAGGGGCACCGTGCTTGCTGCCACAGAGAGCTGCGCGAGCCGACGGCGTCGGAGGCTCCGTTTGGAGCCAGCCTCTGGGAGCTTTCTCTCAGTCCCGCTCCGTTCGGGCGCTAAGCTGAGCCTTCGGAGCAGAGCCATTTCTGCTGTTTCCCAGGCAAAAGGCTCTGCTAAGCCAGGCGCCGGTTCTACGTTATAAATCTTAGGGGTTGTGTTTTTAACAGTTGAGCTTGGAGTTGTCTCTCTTTGCTTCTGCAGAGCCTAACACAATATGCACTAACCTCTGATCTGCTCTTGTGCGCAGCGGTGCTACAGAAGGCCAAATACCAGGTCAGAAAATAACTTCATTTCCTCCTGAAAAGCCTTGTCATCACCTTGTCCGTGCACTGAGGAGAGCTGAGTTTGTATCAGTCCGTGGTGTCTCTTGCTCTTTCCAGGGCTCACAACTCTCACCAGATTGTTTGCGCTGTCACTGCCAGTTATTTCCATTTGCAGGCCTTCCTACCACTCCTTTCCAATGTCACACCTCCCGTTATCATAGTCTTTCCAGCCTGGTGAAATACTGCTTAATTTTTTGGAGTCCCTTTCTCCTGTTTTCGTTTCAGAAATATTATTTAATTTAGAATTATTAATTAAAATATTTTWAAATTCCCGTTTTATATTCCATCTTGAATATCTGCCTTTCAGGAACGAACARGCAATCATATCATGAGATGATAGACGTTGCTGGCCCGCAACTTTTTCTCTCTTTGGTATTTTAACAAGGGCAATCAACTTAATTCCACATTCCTATGTGAGATTTTGCCTTCTGGGTAAGGAACATCCTCTACCTCCCCTTCTGCCCCCTTTTCCCAAACAATCTTCTGCTGTGCTCTGACAGTGGAATGTATAGGTGATATCCCTTGTAGAAAATATATCCGTAATATATCACAAGTATTGTCATTATGATGTATTAACGTAATGCATCATCAGAGAGCTGTCAGGGTGAAGATTTATTACTGTAAAATAAATTATTGTCAGACACTGGGGAATGGGTTGACAGAATTTTGGTTTGTTTTTCTAAATTAAGGACTTTTAAAGTAAGTTTAGCTTCATGAAGTACTAGAGGTGGGAGGGTCACAGAGGAGAGGACTTGAATCAAAAACACCAGAAAGACTCAGGAGGCCTCATAAGGATAAGAATGTAATATTTTCCCCCCAGGTAGTTTTCATAAGGTTTGCAAAGTTTAAGCTTACAGCTTAGATGAGAGCTACAGTGAGTAGTTCGATTCGTTTTATTCAACCCAAATCAGACTTTTTTTGTTTCTTCCTTAAAGAAATAGAGAGTCATCAAAGCAGAAAGCCTCTCCGCTGTCCTAGAAATGATTGAATTCTGCCACAGGAGGCTGTTTGCTTCGGCCAGGGACATCTCGTGGACGCCCCGCGCGCCCGGCTCGGGTGCCCTGGCATCAGTGGGAGCCTTGAGTCGGTGCGCACAGACATTGCATCCCGTCCCTGCACTATGTGCTAAAGCCACGAATCTTGGGTTCTCCACCTTACAATCCACTTTTTGTGTTGACCTGCAAGTATTTCCCAATGCAATGTTGTCCGATGGTTTTTGTTGTAGARGTACATTGCATGCACCATGATACTTTCGTGCCTTTCCTTTAATCCTGTGTATAGCGTTGGTCATTGTGAGTTAAATGCCCAGGTTGCTTTTAGGTTAATGAGTGCGCTCCGCTTGCTGCTGACGAACTTAATTACTGCTAGGCGCTACGCTGACCTCGGCCCTACAGCCCGTACACRTGGACTGGACTTCACCGGTGGGGATGGGGTGTTTGAAAGGAATATTAACTTTAAAAAGAAACATATGCACTGGATGTGTTTGCAGAAGCAGAGTTGGCAAAAAAAAAAAAAAAAAGTTGAAGGCAAAAGGTAGTTATGCCAAAAAAACAACAAAAAAAAACCCTCTACAAATTCCTTATCCTGAAGGAAAATCAGGATAAGCTGCATGTTTTTGGCTAGTTCTAGGAAAACAGCTTCACTAATTACCTAAAATACAGAAATGGAATGGGTGCCAAAGTGAAGCAGACTGTGCCTACAAAGTCCTTTAGAAACCATGCTGTTAGGAGTCTAGAAAAAATGCTTTGTCCTACATAAACTGCAGAACAGTGTGGTTGTGTATAGTGCTGCAGAAACACCGGCTCAAGCCAAATYTATTTTGAGATATTTTCAGAAAAGGGTCTATACAGATGTTTTCGAAGCTGCTCCGCTTTGCAGATGCCAGGTAACCCATTTCTGCCGGGAAGGATGCGCCCCAGGAGGCTCTCCTGGCTGCCCGGTGGGCTGTGTAGGCACATGCTGCCCGATGAGAAGGTGCTATGGGCACTACACATCCRTCTCCAATACAGAGGGTCCGTTTTCTAAACTCAGGCACGAGAGAGGGGGCAACTTTTCCTCTTACTGGTCTAACGAGTCAAGAGTTTTTTAGTGTGTTGCAGCTCRTGTGCTTTGTGGAAGGCAGGTGGACCCGGCCCCCTGAAGTGGTGAGGACAACTTGTTGGATCCTCTTCTGGAGCGCCAGATTGGAGGGAAGGTTTCTGTATTCTGTCTGTCAGTGATTTTTTTTCCCCTGCTCTCATGGTGCTTAAAGAACTTCTGAGCCATGTTGCAAGTGTCAAGAAGCAAATGAGTCTTTTGCTGAAGGCTTCCATGGAGGATTGTCACGCATGCTATAAATCAGAAGCTTAGTCCATGCGTTGCAGAGGTTGGAGTTGGAGAGCGTTTGCCCAAACTCCTGTCCTTCCTATGTTTCTTAGTAGAGTTTCACTCAGATTTATCATCCGTCCGCGCTAGTTGCTGCTCAMATCACTGGTTAACACAGTCTTAGGTCAGTAGATTTCAGAAGAGAAAAATGTCTTGGAAGGACCATATGAAATCTATCATGGCAAACCACTGATAACTCCACATCTTATTAACTTCAATTAAGTATTTCCATGGGAATCCAAAGAACTGTTTAAAGTCATGATGACACATACACACACTCTGTTCCATCCAAAGAAATAATCTGTTTTCCAGATTTCCAAATAGCCCAACTATTTTGTTATTGTTTTTTTCTTTTCCTCCTTTTAAAAGAAGTAATTTATAAGAATTTATCTTGGGTTTGCTGCAGATTTAAAAGGAGAAAAAAGGTTTCTTCTGTCCGACTTCTAAATTATATGCATGACCAAAGATAAATATGTTTTTTATTTATAACTGTGGAGAGATGCCAAATAGAGCCTTTCATATGACGCACCGCTGCTGTAGTGGAGAAGCACTTAAAGCAGTTCCAGTCAAGTTCTGCCCCGAGACTTTTCACTCAACTTCATGCAAAGTGGCTAAGACCTTTTATTTGTTTTTTTCCCTTCTCTTTTGAACATCTTCAAAGGCTACTAGGTCTTCGAGGATGCCAGGCTTCTTCCTGCTGAGCCGAGATGGTCTGAAAACCATCTTGAAGCATGGAAAACGGCGGCTGCCATAGATTGCAGATGTAGGGGTGGGATTTTTTTTGAGTTGTGGGTCTCTCCTGCCCGTCCGCTGGTGACAGTTGGGTGAAGGCTCTGGATGGAGGCTGCTAAAGCAGAGCGCTGCTGTGCCGGGGGCGAAGGGGCTCTCGCAGCGCTGCTGAGCAGGAATCCTTGCGGAGCTAATACATACAATTTGTAATTGTCAGAGCTGAAAAGTAAAAACATGGTTATAAGCTGTGCATAGGATCAGCTTATGTCAGCTTTAAATGATTTAAAAGGTCTAGTGTCTGGAGCTGCATCTTACTTGCCTGTAAAACTCCTTAAAGCCTTACATAACCGTAGAAGCATGTCTCTGCCTTCTGTATCTGCTGTGAAAACTACCCTTTGTCTAGCTGACAGGAGACAGGTTTTCGGGACAGATGTGAAACAAAGCCTCCCAGTTAAATAAGAATATGGGATTTAAACAGCAGGAGACACTTGCCCGGGCACGGTAACTCTTTCAGACTCCTGCTTATCCGTGTTTTATGTGGGAGAGGATGTGCATAGCGAGGCGCTGGTGCAGCCTGCGGCGCCGTGGGCGTTCGGCGGCACGGAGCCGGTGTCTGTGCGGATGCCGGGGAGCTGGCGGAAGATGCGGGACGCTCCRAGGGGAAGCGGGGATGCCGCTTCCCACGGGGACGCCTGCCCTCCCGCCTGGCCTTGTCCGGGGTGTCCCTTGGGGACGCTGCGGGACAGCACACGAGCCCTCTGAGGGGATTTGGCTCCCGAATGCCGGACACRGCAGCTTCTTCCTCGCTCCCTGCTCATCCTCTGCACGCATGTGTGGCCGAGAAGGCCGCTAAACACAGCAAGGCAGCGCAGCTTTGGTGCCGAGGGACACCCCTCGTCCTGCCATGCCTCTCTCCCAACCACCTGGGAGTCCGGGGCAGGCTGGAAGCGACTCATTTACCATGTAAGAAGAGAGGGTCCTGTTGACACAAGTCAAGGGCAGAACTGTTAAGTCATTAGGGATAATGTTGTCTTGTTCTGACACAAAGCCAGGGCCTGGGCCTTTTCAGTGTACATCTGACCTTTGAGGATTAAGTTTCTTCCCGCTTGGGGAAGAAACCTCAGTCGATACTGAAAATCTCTGGTTTATTTTCATGTGCACTGATCCTTGGCCACATCTAGGTGCTGCCCGCAGTCCTGGTTTGCCCCCGTGTCATCAGGAGAGGTGGTGAGAGAGCAGCCGTGACACCACCATACAGAATGCCTTGRCGTGGCTCTGTGTAACGYAGCTTCTTATCCAGCAGTTTTGCCATTTAGTCCGATGATCATTTGAGGCACTGAGTCCTGCAGGGCAAGAGCACGTCTGCGCCGGCGGGGGGAACGTGCTGGGGCTCTSAGCCCTGCCCTGCTTGCTCTCTCAGCATTAATCCACCTGGTGTCAGCTGGGGGCACTTACCTGGCCCTGGAATTCTGTCGCGATGCTTTCCCTTTGTAGGTGTCTTTCTGGAGCCAAGAGTCAAGAAACGTCCCCTTGGACCTGGCCCAGGGCACATCTTCGGTTACCCTTGTCCTGAAGGGTAAGTTCTCCGGGTGAAATCATGGAAGGTGGCAGCCTTGTGGCAAAGCCCTGCCCAGGAACACCCCAAGTTGTTGTGTAAGTCCTGAGCACGAAACTTAGGACCAAATTTTTTTAGAGCACATAGACGTGACAAAAACACGTGCCAAGGCATGAGTGACACTACCCAAGCTACCCACAGCATGTCATTATTTTACAGGGAGGTCTCATTTTATGTGATGCTTTTTTTGGTTGTACAGAAATACACTCAATAATGTCAGGCACTCAAAAAAAAAAAAAAAAAAAAAAAGGCTGAGAACTTTGTGTGTTAAATTTAATTTGCATTTAAATGCAAAAAGCATCTAAATTGCTTTTTAAATCTGTCTTGTAACAAGTCTGTGGTAGCTCCGTGAATGTATTTTAAGATAGGTAGGCATTGTTTGCTCCATGTTGTGTTACTATGAAGGCCTTTATTCATAAGTACCTTAAGTACTTAAGTACTTAAAGTCCCTTTAACCTTAAAACTGTGCGTTTATTTAAGACTCCTAAGTCTGACCTATGAAAATAAGTTTTCCAGCTTACCTATAGCTATATTCTGTTTTATTTTTGCATGCTGCAACTTTAAGCAAAATGGTGATGGTGGGGGGCAGTGGTGAAGGGAAGTGGTGCTAAAAAATGCTGCTCTTAAGACTGCACATGCCAAGGCAGGTCCGGAGCGAGTGCTCGTGGCCGCGTTGATAAACCCTGACGGTGGAGGCTGAGAACAGAMATTCTGACAGACCCTTCTTTGTGACAATACTAGTGGGAGCCACAAGAGCATCCTCTGCTGCAGAGCGTTGCTCGCATGCGAGCACTCCTGTGCCAAAGGTTAATTTGCCAGTTTTATTGCCTTCTCTYTACAGCTGTAGTTTAAACGAATTGCACACGTAAGTGATGTTATATGCATAGGGTTTTGCATTAAGTTTGCTATGTCAGATTTGTTTATAAAAATCATATTTTGAACCACTTGCCCAGGGGCTCCGTTCCGGGGAGCTCCAAGCTGATTTCTTTTAAAGAGGCAGCTTTCGTTTTCCATGAACTTTCAGTGGGGATTTTGGAGCTCTGAACAGGGAGCTCAGCTTGAAAATTAATGCTCGCCCAGGTTTACAATTAGGTTTAATTACTCAGTCACAGAGGGTTTAATCTAGTTTTACGTGCATGCCACATGACCCTTACCATACCTTATGGGGAGTGGAAGGGCCCCCTGCCTCTCTGGGGGAAAATTGCTTCCCAACACATTGGGAACATTCCCAACATTGTGTTTACAATGTTTTTGTTCCTATGCTGCAATGTTAACATTGCCCATAAACCTAATAGTCACACAGTAGTTAATAAGGGGCAGAAAGTTTTATAGTCTTTTCCACAGTTGTTAAAATACTGCTACTGTAATTTACTCCTAGCCATGCAGAGTCTATCAGTTGTCGTGGAGAATAAGCGGCCCCTATTAGTGTATCCTTGCAAACCAGTGGAAAAGAGGATCTCTCCTGAGCATCGACTCCAGTGTGATGGATTTGGGGATTATTTAAATTGCTTGGCGTATAAGGGCTGTAGCATAAACATTCATGGACTTGCCAGCAGTGTGCCTGGAGGATGTGAGGGCTTTTAGGAAAGCATCATTTGGGGTTTTCCTCCAGTCCCGTTGGAATTGGTGGCAGTGTTYGGCAAAGGATGGCTTATGAAGTCGCCTTTGTGTTGCAGGGCATAGAACACATTAATGATCTTGCAAGCGGGCTGTACGCGGGGCGAGCCAGCATCGTCCTCCGGTTGCTCGTGTGTTTTGTGCTTTGTGCTYGTGTGTTTTGCCTGTTGCTGCTTAAACCAGGAGCATCTCCGAGGTGTCGGCTGCAGCGCCCCTCGTGCCCTGAGGGATCCTCAGCGTGGCTGGGGCTGTCCCCTGCCAGAAGCCATGCAGGCACTCTTGAACCCATGGTGGAACCGAGGCACTTCTCAATGCTAACAAGATCTCCAGAATAAAGCGGTAGTTGAGRTGGACTCAAATGTGATTGGAATTGCACTGCCAGTACCTGTGCGTGCTCTGTCCTTCCTACAGAGAGGAGTGCTGAGCTCGTGCTTGTGCTGGTCCCTTCACCACGTCAGTGGGATGTAGGGAGGGCAGCAGCGGCCCAGGGTGGTCACTGGGAAGAGCGGCCAAGAGGAGCCCTGGGGAGGCAGAATTCCTCACAAAGCTCTCTGAAGGAGAAATTTCCACCAAAAAAAAAAAAAAATCCTTTATGAATAGATAAACCGTTACATTAAACAAATTGCAGTCATCTTTAACTCAGAACATTGTTCTGAAAAGAAGCCTGTTCTACTAGTACATCGGAAACTAGCATAAAGATTATTGCACAATAGCAAAGGGTAGTGGGGGAGAGAGCAGTAAGAAAAAGGTAATTTGTGTCTAAATCATCTACTATGAACATCACGAACTCTTAGGCAAAGCAATGCTATCTAAAAGGGCAGCGTTCTAATTACTTGGCTGCCATAACTCTACCTCAGCACTTGTTGCCATTTCCTTTATATTTAACCTTTAGCCTGTGCTGCCTGGCTTTGCAATGACATTTTTGAGCTATTTGTAAAATTTCTAAAAACCAGATTAACTACAAGGGCTCTCAGTTACCTGTGTTTTACTCCCTTCTCCGTCACGGCCCCGGAGCAGGGATTAGGGGCTGGTGTAGACGACCCGCCTGGCTTGGCGCYGCTAGGACACTGGGGTTTGTCTCCAGCGCGGTTGCTGGAGCTGCCCACGCGCTGCAGTGACGGGCCCGGCTGGAAACGGTGCCGGTAACTCCTGCCCCCTTGCATGACTGAGCTACTGGATCCATTCTGAAGACATCTGTGGGAGTTCCCTTGTAGTTATCTCTCTCTCTCAGATTACAACACTGCCATGTCGGGGTTGGGTTTTGAAGTCTTTTTGAGTGCTTTTGCGTAATACTTGGTCAAAATGCTTCACATGAGGAACTTGTTGCTGTGCTCTGCTTAGGCAGGGTCATTACTGGGAAAATCCCTGGGTTAATGTGACGTCTCCCGTCTTCTTGAACAAGCCCWGGGGACCAAAGAGAGGGGATTCCTTCCCTAGGATGCTCCTGGGACTCCCAGTGACAACGGAACCCATTATAGCATAGTTTTGCCCCAAAGATAGTGCCCAGCTCAGCACTACTGCTGCTTCTGCCAAGCAGAAGTCAAGCACTGCTCTGGAAAATGGTCTTCTTGTAGTGTTTTTTTTCTCCTAAACCTTGATCCGAGATGCACTGGAGGCAATGGAGTGGTTTGAAGGCAATTTCCAGTGAGTTCTATGCTCCACCCTCATATGATATTGCAAAGGGATACTTCAGCATCATTTTCATTTGCAAATATTGCCAAACATATTGCTGYCTTCTTATCCTTTTCAAATATATCAGTGAACCTGAAATGCTTCCCATTTGTTTTCCTGTTATATTACTTTTCRTTTTTTAGTTTCAGTCATTAACGGCCTGTGACTGAATTAATTATGAGTAAAACACACTAATAGTCGATCGAGCCCTTTGGCTCTTGTGCTGACTGGGATAGAAAACTACAGCAAAAATGCACTGGTATTTTCAAATGCAGTATTTTTTTCAAAACATAGCCGAGCAACAAGCCTCAATGCTACTAACTTTGATCAGGAATTAGGCTCCTAACAAAAGCGACTTACACCTGACTATAAATTTCCCCAGCTGAGGACGAACCATTCGTGGTGCAGCCCGTCAGGGAAAGCTGTCTCATTGCTGCCTTATAGGTGGCACCTTTGGAGTCCTCAGGTAACTATCAACTGCTTTATTTTTAGCCTAGAAGATGCCTCTGTTTATTTTTTTTTCCCAGTTAATAAATGACAAGAATTAATTATTACAGGTATTCAAACGAGGGATTTGTATACGGAGAAGGCGGCGCAGGGAAAGAGGATTTTCCAGTGGCAGCCGCTAGTTCAGAGGCCCTGTGCCCTGCACTGGCTGTTGTCAGGAAAGACTGAGTGGCAGTTCTAATTACCGGTGTCTACACGTGTTCCTCATAGGAAGATACAAGCTGTCACGATCCCTTGCCAATCACATGAGAGCTGACCTAGAGAGAACATCAACTGAAGGTGAGTGTACGTGTCCAATAAATTCAGTCCCCGCTGCATTGGCTTATTTTTAGGATTGTCCTGAAAAGACATTCAGTCTGTATCATAAAACCTTCAACTGAGTCGAAAATATACAGAATGATGATGACTTTAAATTTGGGTTCATGCCCTCTGGGGCATGAATTGCTAGTCCTTCGGGTATGACTTGATAATGTACCGAATGTTGGAGGAATCTCTAAATGAGTTCCTAAGGACAGAGCACTTATGCAGTGCTGGGGCCTCCCTAATCAAAGGAAGCAAAAGAAAGGTAAGTGTTATTCTTAATTTACAATGAAAACATGGTTTCTCTGTGAGATATTTCTCAGGAAATGGGTGTTTAAAGTTGCTGCATGTATCTGTGCATGCAGCTGATTTTCCTTTCTCCGATTTTCACCTTCGCCCATTGAATGTATTAGAGACTTGTTCCCGAACGTAGTTTAGACAATACATGTGTCACAAGCAATGATGAATCAAAGAAAGAAAGCATCCAGAAAGGGAAGCTAACTAGACAGGTAGGCCCTCATCAGCATCACATTCTGTTCCATAGCTACAATAACAATAATTGAGTCAGACACATGGATTTTAAGTGCCTCTTAAAGAGGAAAGTTAGGCAGAGACACTGCAGAGGGAAAATCATACTCTGAAATGTGGCATCTCAGTTGTGCAGCTGCCAGCCTTGCTCTGTCACTAGCCGCAGCTCTTGCCTTTTCTTCCAAACTGGGCAAGGGGGGAGTGAAACCCAAGAGGCCCTTGAGCTGTGAGGTGTGGGGCCGAGTCCCTCCGTGCCCTCGAAAGAAACCTCTCATTAGTTCCAAGCCTCGGGAGACGAGTGCTTCCTTGGGCAGCAGATGGACGTGTAGGGAGATGGGGGCCGGATGGACGGTCCTCAGCAGCCCCCTGGTTCTGTTGTTTTGCTGCTCGCGTTGCGCCCATCCTGGTCAGGGAGATGTCCCAGCGCTGGCCTTCTCCATGGGCAGAGGGCTCCTCTGGCCCAAAAGAGAGGCAGGTCAGGCTCCACTGCTGCTGCTGCCTGGAWATTAGCTCTCTGCATGTGTTGCTCCAGCCCGGAGTCAAACCCTGTGGAGCTCAGAACCGGAGTGATGAAAKGGGCAGGCTTGGTGTAGAAGGGCTGGGCGACACTGCTACCAGTTTTCAGTAAGAGCCTTGCACTCCTCACACTAGGTTCCTTTGTTTTAACTGTCAGCTTTGGGAGACATATGATTAAGTATGAATTTTAATTTACTTCTTTTGTTTTCTGGTCCTCATGGTTGCAAAATAAAATGTGGAAAACATGATCCGGTGTTCAAAAGCAAACCCAGAGGCAGATGCCAATTACCAAGCAGTTGTGATTTCTCTTTGAGTGGCTTGGGTTTGTTTGCTTGGTGTTTGTTTTGGGGGGTTCTTTTACAGTCGCAGGGTTATCACATACTGCCGAGTAGACTGTGCCTCTGCATAAGGGTGTTTTTGGTGCAGAACAGTGTTGATACAGTGTTGGAGGACTGTGCAGGACCACCACGCCTGGTGCACAGGACACGGTCTGTGGATGGAGTTATGCAAAATGTCCTTCAGCTTGCAGGGACAACAGCCAGCTCATTCTGACCCAGAAACCGAGGCGATTTCACCTGAGGTTGTGGATGACTGGGAGACAAGTGGGCACGCATCCTGGCTGGCCATGTAGATACAGCCTGTAGTCCCTCACCGTGCTCAGCAGCTTCCTCAGGAGGCAAAGCAGGGCCAGCACCAAGCAGGATGGTGCTCAGGGGTGCTGAACCTCTCTCTGCAACAGGGGAAACGTGGATGTTTGTGTCATATCCAGAGAATGCATCCCGGCCTGCGTGCCAGATGAGGCACTTGCATCTGGTGAGGCCAAAGATGCCGAGAGCGGCGCTCCCAGGAAGGGGACCGTAGCCCAGCGAGTGCTAGGCACAGTGTGCACTGCAATGAAATACGGCGTTTCTGCAGAAATGATTGATGAGGACGAAAGCTCATAACTTCTGCGGTAATTTTGTCACTTTTATCTCCAGGGTGGAGATCGCTACATGCCAGGCTGCATTCCTTCATAGCAGCTGAATCATTCTTATTGTCTCCACAAGTTGAAAATGAGAAACAGACTGGCAGGAAAGTTAAAATTTTCAAGGTGGAAAGAGAAGGGAAGAGCCCGATTATTTTTTTTTTTTAAGATTAAAAGTTCTTGTTGTATTTTTACATTTTATGATTCCTGTATTTAAAACGAGACAAGAGTTTCCCATATTTTGAAGAGAAATCAGAGCACCTGGGGAAAAAAAAAAKCTCACCCCGGTGCCTCTCTGTGAGCTGCACGGGCAAGAGACATTTCCAAGGCATCCGTGGCTGCCATATCCTGTATGCAAAAAGATTCCATAAATGTCTGAAAACAGATGGAATGCAACTTTGGAGGAATAAATGGATTTTTAATTTTCTGAACATTTTGGATTCCATCTGGTTGAAGAAACGAAGTGACCAAGTAGGCTGTGTTTTGCCTTTCTTGTGTAATGGATAGAGGCACTCGTTCCCCACTAGCACCTTGCTTGCTTGCTTACATCTTTGCTTGCTTTTAACTCTCCTGACATGTCAAGGGATACCTTATATTCGTCTCTTTACGTGTCACATCTACATATTGGCTCTCCCTCCGTTCATGCTGCAGATGGCAAGGAGGAGCTGTGAGCACCTGCCTAAGCTCACCTGACAGTAACAGCAGCATGGAGATGCAGACCTTGGCTTTTTGTCTTCGTTATTTTTTGCTGCTAGCATTGGCACATATTGTAAGAAGGGTTTTAATTTGCTTTCTTGTTTAAAGGCAAGAGAATCAAAGCAAGCAGAGATTTTGTGTACTGTTACCATTAAAGTAGAATATTTCCTTTTAGTGCTTTTTTTGTTACTGTCATTCAGCATGTTGTTAAGCAAAGATGAATATGTGTTTTTAGACAGGAAATTTGCATTTTTGTGTAAATAGGGAATGCAGTCATYGTGAACTCCCCCAAAAAGCCATAAAAAAGCCATAAAGTGTACTAGTGTGTATAAAACGGGGAAGACCTTAGGTTTTTGGAAAACACACTGGTGCCCTGCTTGTTCTGCAGCGCACAMGCCTGTTCACACTCCTGGAAAGGAAGGTCCCTGTTCCGAGGTGCCATAGAAGTGCCTACGCTTACCAGGGGCACCGTTCATGATGTTGGTTATTTATGGTCGCCACTCGGAAAGTCCTACTGAGGGTAAGAATTTCCGTGCTGGTAAGTGGAAACACTGCTCRTGAGGAAGAGTTAGGAGGAGGGTATTGACAATGTGTTTGGTATTAGTTTTCCGACTTGGCGCTTGGGAGCATTTCTCATCATTTTTGCTATGAATATGGATGAAATATTCCAAAAAGAAAAGGGAGCAACAGCTCTCGCTAGTTATTTTAACGGACATGAGCAAGACTGTTTTCCAGGCTGGAAACAAGGCTGTTTATGTCTCAGGAGAAACCATTGCATTTTAGGTTCAAGAGTTGTCTAATGCCTGAAATCGCTGAGAGATTTCACTTTTGCCTGACACTTTAATGCTACATAAAAAGTTTGTTTGCTCAGTCCTTAATAGGGCAAAACGTAACATTTCCAGTACAAATAATTTCTGTGTAAATCTCTGGTCACCGTAACCCCGTAATTCAAATGAGGCTTGTTTCTTTCTCCCTGAAATTTGTGGTGATGAAGCTGTGAGGGCTGGCAGCAGCACACACCGACGCTGCCAGCAAAACGGAGCATCCAGTGCACTCATGTTTGGAGCATCCTTTGCTGGGATCGTGTAATAAACTTGCCTTGTATGGCTTGGAGACAACTGAATTCTCTTTTGCATTATACATTTATGAATTTGTGTTACTGTCTCTGAAGCCTTTCCCCCCCCGTAAATGATGGAAACGGTTGTTACACAAATTTGGGCTTGGGAGACGTATGGAAAGCTCTGTCCATATACAGAATGGGAATCGCTGCAAGACTCGCCAGCTGCAAGGAGAGGGGATTTGTTGCCTCGTCATCTTCTGACAGCTTGGAGATGTTGTAGAGAGTGTGAGTGTAGAGTGTGTATCTTACCAACAGCTCTGATCACATGTTCTCTCGTTTGTATAATTTAGAAAATTACCAATGTAATGAAAACAGCTCCAGCTAAATAACTCCTCCATCCACAGTTAATAAAATAGTATCTACCCTCGGAGACCTGGAATTTCTCTGCAAACGCTTTTAGTTAAACAAAGCGTTTTGTGTCCCTACAGTAAGTGCGATATTTATTTTTTCATTATTCATGAAACAACTTTAATGTCACTGCTGATTTTCCTGGTAGCATGTTCAGTTCCAGCCTCGCGGAGCTCACGCTGGGTTGTAGCTGAAGATGTCATTCACAATAAACATGAGCTGCTGTGACAATACGGTGGCAGAAGGTGAAGAATCTCCTTTCTTGTGCAAGGACGTGTGTGTGTCTCGCTGTGTGTGCGAGAGGGAGGGCAGGAGAGAGATTTGATTGTGTTTACAAGATTCATTCGCAGCACAGCAGGCAGTAGTCACATTGTAATACTCACCTTAACACGCATAATTTGATTTTCAGCCTGGTTATCATGCATTCAGACATAACGATACATGAAAATATATGCTTTAGCAGTGCATTTTAAACAAGGTTGCACACTTTAAGTCGGAATATATTAGATGTGAGCGTTGACTTTAGCAGTGGCAGAAGTCCTGGAAAGCACCGTTCAGCCTGCAGCATATGCTACAAAACCACGGAAAGAAAAGCCGATTTTAATGGGTAAATCTCAGAGGCGGCTCCCATTTATGGGTTCAGCTCCAAATTTTGAGTGGGTGTCCTCAAATTTGAACTCTCRACATGAATGAGTTCATTTCATTTTGGGTCTGGGATACTAAAGGATTTTCTTCTCTCATTCCTAGGTTTGTCCCCCCTGGAAAGTGAAGGGTCAAAAAGTCCCCCAATATTTCTGCACTCCACACTGGGAGGAAAATGAACTGCCTGGGTGTCGGATGGATGTTGTCCCGGGTCACCCCAAAATCCCAACCTGCAACACAGAGGAAGAGGYTGTTGTTGCTGGCCAGGAGCTGTGCCTTGCTACCGCCGTCTGGAGCAGAGCGAGCGATGTGGGGGTCTGTCATCAATTTAATTCTAGCCGTAACACACCAGCCTTCACGCAACACGGAAACAAATCTGTTGTTTGCACCGTGAGATTTCCAGCTCGACTCAAATCATGTGAGTGTGGATGCGGTTGGGCATGGGGTGTTTTTTAATATATTTTTTTTTCCTGTGGAACGTCTAAACATTTGCAAAACAACCAAACCCTCCAGCCAAAAGCAGAKAGAAGCCTGCTGAAGTCAACAGAGTTGAGCCTGTTTATACGAGTGGGGCATTTGGCCTGAATCCAGCTGGAGACTTTGCAGCCTCACACCTCCGAATCTTCCGAGGCTTTCTTAGCATCATTAATATTGAGGCGGTACGGTACCCAAAGTAATTATCCATTACTGCTTGGGCCTGGCCCAGGAATTATTCCGCCACATGTTGCCTCATTATATATAATGGAAAAACAGAAACAAACTAGAAACTGGGGAAATAAAGGTGGTAAAATGAGGAAGTGGGAAGCAAACAAGCAAGCAGTGGGGAGAGGTCCATGGATGGTGTGAATCAGTGCGGCGCTATCATCTTCAGGCCATGCCAGTTTGCATCCTGTGATGCCCTGGCCCGTTATTATTAGGCAGGTATGTTGCTGATATGCTCTATAATGGCTCGCATTACCAGCCCCGGCTGAAAGAAGCAGCTGGTGAAAGTTATGTTTATGTTCCACAGATGGATCGGCAATGGCAGACACACAGCTCTGGGTCTGGTAAGCAGGTGTTTGTCTTTAGATTTGCTAGCTAGCCAGAAAAAGGCAGATTCTTGGTGAAGGGTGTAGACGAAAGGAGATCAGTGTAGCTGCTGAAAAGGAAGAAACAATTATTTTCGGTTCCAGTTTATGGTCTTTTTAAGTGGAGAATGAGCAGAGTCCTGAAGCTAATATTGCGCTTTGGCAGATCAGGCCACACGATCCAATTGGTCTGGAAGAAAAAATAGCCAAGTAGCAAAAGGAAAAAAAAAACCCAAAACCAAGATCATTCCTTGCAAACGAGGGTATTCAAATGATAGTCTCACAGCCTTCATTTCTGGCCTGTTTTGAGCAGGAGAAGAAATCACTCTGGCTTCAGAGGAGGTGAGAGGTCCCCATAATGAGTGAAARCCTCCTGGCCAGAGAAGCAGCTCCAGCAGTTGTTGCAGTGCACAACGGGACCAGTAGAAATTCCGGGTGAGCTGAGCAATCCCTCTGCTGGGAGACGGGAATGAAATCCTCTTTTTGGTAAGAAATTGTTTACAAACCAATTTTGCCACCTGTAAATTAATTGATTAAGTGTGCGCAGCCAGTGCAGAATGTGGACGATTGCTTTTTGGCTTCTTCAGAATAAGCCATTTATTTTGACTGCGTTTATTTTCTCATTTCCAATTGCTTGGAAAACCAAAACGTGGTTGGATTCTGTCTGGTCTCCGGATGACAAATATTTCTAGACAGAGAAATGACAACACATAAATTCCTGGATGAGTATCATTCCAGTTAAAATTCCTTAAGCTCCGAGGATTTGGGAGCATTTGCACAGGTACCYGGCAGTAGGCTGAATGCTCGTTAATAGCTAATATTGTGGCTCCGTGAATCATAGTGAGCCAGATTCAGCACTTCCAGTTGCAAATCAGGTTATTATTTTACTCTTTGACCAGCTCTAGGGAGAGCTCCTTAATATGTAATGGAAAGAAGTAGCCTAAGGGAATAGAGCAGAGTGGCAGTGCTTCCCGGCAGCTTCCGCGCACTGCTGCCGGGCACGATGCCACTGCCAGGAGGGCTGGTGCTCCTCCACGCATCCCTGAAGGCCCAGGTGGGCYCGAGCGGCTCTGCGGGACCAGCGGTGGCTCCGGGTGTGCAAGAGCAGCTGGGATGGCCAAGGGATGCAGGGTAGAGCTGAGGAGAAGGCCTCGCCCTACGCGTTGCTCTCTCATTATCGTGCCTCACTTATCGCAACCAGGCTCCTCCAAAGGGCAAGCTGGGAGCTGGAGAATTTGGAAAGGTGGCTGYGGAAAGGAGGCAGCACGTGGGCTGGAGCTTCTGCGGTGCGTGTGATGTATGAGGGAACAGCAAGAGCAGCAGGTGCTGCCGAAATTTATGGAGGAGCCGAGGCGGCAGCCCCTCAGGAAGAGCAGTGACCGCTACAGGAGCAGATGGTCTCCAGAGTTATGACCACAGGGCGCAGTCCCGGCTGCCCGCGTAGACGGGTCCGTCTTGACCCGGGACCAACAAGACGTGGCCTCCAAGGCCTGCGGTCACCTCGTGGGGCTCCGCTGGTCGGCGCAGCGAGCGGCCTCGGAGCCGAGCACAGCGAGGCCGACCCCATCAGCGCCCGTTGATCCCGAGCCGGGCGCTGGAGAGGGGCATCTTGAACCGGTTGGGAAGCCCAGAATAGAAGTACTGATAAAGGCTCGTGGAGGAATTTAACTACCCAGACATCTGCTGAGTAACAAATGCAGCTGAACATGCATCATCGCAGAGGTTCCTAAATTACAGTGAAGACAACTTTATGATCCAGAAAGTAGAGACTCCTGAGGAGAAGCCATCCTGGATCTACAGGAGCATATTAATGAAATTTGCAGATGCAACTTTGCAAGTGCATTAAAAATACAGCAGCACTGCGTTTTAGAATTGACTTCTAGCACAGTATCATGTGTGTTAGWAGAATGGACTCTCTTCCACATCAATTTATGGGTTTTTTTACTATTCCACAAGTAAATGAACTTTCAAGCCTACCTACTCCTGTCTTTAGAACTGTCCACATTATCCATGAATCCCACACATTTGGGATCTGCAGACTCCTAAGTAATGTGCTTTGCAAACATCTGTTTGGACAACACGCAGCTCATGCCAGAGACCCAGGGAATTAGGAGAATGGGCAAACAATAACTCAGTGTCATTTGCCTTCCACAATGCAAGTGCATACCTTTGCAGAAAAGAAAAAAAACATCATTTGAAACAAATGTTGAAGGGGATGAAGAATCTTAAGGAGCAGAAATATTGAAAAGATAATAATGAACAGCAAATAAGGCATGAGTTTTCAATAAGGCACAATAGCGAAGGAGGCCTATAAAGTTCTGGAGTACAAACAAAGAGATATTACATCAGAGGGTAAAGTTCAAATAGGGCTTTTTTCTGCCTTTTTGGTATCAGGGGATTTAAAATAGGCAAGTCCATTGAAATGAGCAACAAAAAGGTTAGGTTGATTATCAAGAGGAACATCTGCCAGTAGGACTTACTAATTTAGGAAAAAAACGTTCAGAGGTCTTGATTTACAGTGACAATTGGCAGGGGGAAAGTCAACAAACCTAAAAGCCCCCAAGACTTKATTTTTGTCATAAAAACTGGGGAATCTGTGAAATCTTAGGGGGAAAATAATCCCCTAAAATTTCTCACATAAATCAGCTAATCTTTGCCATCCTCAAAGTAAAAGCAGCCCTGAATGAATCCTGCCTCGTTCCTCAGATCCAATACAGGGCTAATGCCAGGTTTACACTCTAATGGTTCATTTCCTTACATCTGGAGAATGCGTCTTTTGAAAATTTAGGAGGGGGAAAATCAAGGTTTTCTTTTTACCTTTCTTGCCAAGTTTTAATTTGATGCATTCATTTCCTCATTACCTCTCTGTCCCAAAGTTTACGTCTCAAACACTGAGCAGCAAAATCTTTTTCTCATTTCTTCAGGAAGGTAACGTTTCAATTTACATTCGTAATAGTGAGGTATGATCATCTCAGTGGGATGGCAACCTTAATCATCTGCCTGCTAAAACCCTCCTCATTAGCTTTGTGGTAAAATATGCCTGTGTTATAAATATTCCGCAGGAAGAACAAAACTTTTCACTTGTCTCCATTCATCCTGACATCTGCTAGAGGTCATGCAAAGAGAGAAATCTACCTCCAAAAGCGATTCCAGTTCAGCGTTGTATTAAGACTATTATCGAATAATTCCTCTCCACCCGATCAAAGGCTTTCTCAGCATCTAATGTTAACAACAGTTATGGTCTCAAGTTTTTGCTTTTTCGAAGATTTTAGGCTCCTCCGTGCATCACCTCAGAGGTCACTGAGAGGTAAGGGAGCGAGCATGTCTTTGATGAGGAAGAAGCAAGAGCTCCTTTTAATCTTAATATTTAGCTTTAATACACACGCACACACAAAAAGAATAAATAATCCCAGGGAGACTGATCTCAGTCCAGGAACCAGCAATAGTGGAAGGTTTTTAGGCAAAGGTGCAATCTCAGGGCTACCTTTGCGAGCAAGGAATTTGGAAGGAGATGAAAAATGCAGGAGAAGGCCTCCCTGGGTATTATTTCTGCCTGAATTCCAGTTGGGCTTGGCCTTGGAGACAGACGTGCTACCAGCAGGAGAGCAGCAGTGATGCCCCAGCCCGCACTGCTGAGCTCTGCTCGCGCGGGGCCGCTCGCTCAGAGTCAATGTGCAGTCTGCAAAGCCAGTCTGCCATTGAGAGGCAGCAGCAAAACCTCGAGGAGAAGAACGGCGGCAGAATCTCTATCAGCGTGGAGCTTGGAGCTCTCCGTGTGCTGCCCTCAGACGGGCGTATTCAGCCTCTGAACTGAGTCTTCCCAGCGTTACGAGCAGCAGGAAAAGTCACTCCTGATCCCAGCTTCTATGGGGAAGGTGTAWAAGTCCCTGAACTGGCCCTCAGCAGGCTCCCTAGCTTGAAAAGTACTTAGCCGAAACTCTTTCCTGGTGCTTTGACTCATGCCCTCCACTTCAGCAAAGCCAGATTACAGCGATTTGCCAACGATTTTGCGGCTGCAAAATGCAGGAAGGTATTTTAATTGCATTTTCCCCTGCGATCGGTTGTGCTGCCATATTCTTATTGGAATGCTTTAAATAGAACAAAGCCCTGGTAGCCGGTTCTGCCCCGGCGCCCTTCCTGTCCCCCTCCCCGGCCCCACCGCTTGGATGGAAATGCAACTTTTATCTAAAAAGGCTTTTTGCCTAGAAAGCGACTGCAAATGGACAGTGCTGACAGAAGCTCTTCGTAATCACCGGCCGGGCTCTTCCCACTCAGTGTTCGTTTCCCAAGGAGAGTATGATGAAAAATTTGCATCCCGTTTTGCAATGGAGCGGCGTGAACTTCCTTAGGGCTGCCCGTGCTGCTGATTTACTGCAGGTGAGGGACCTGAGCTCCACGGACAGCCCCTTGAGTTACATGGGACTYGGCAGTTTACTGACGAGCAGTGCTGCGGGTTTTGCTTCCCAGGAGCCGGGAGGAGCACGTTTGTCCTGGATTCCCTCGGGATCAGCCCTGGAGCCTTGCCTGGGAGCGGGAAAGATGCATTCGCGTTACTGYGAAGATGGCTGAGCTCTTCCCTCTCTCCTTGCTCCTCACCCACGTACAGTCACTCTGAGTAGCGAGTGTATCTGCAGGTTGAATTAACCCCCCTCAGGGTGCAGAGGAGGGTCCTCAGCTCCCTGGATAGCCCCCCARGAGAGGCAGGGTCTCCCAGCTCTGCGCCTAGGTCTCCCGAAGGGCTTGGTGGAGCAGCTCACCTCCCACCATCAACCAACACCTACCTGCTGGCAGGCAAAACTGCTCCTCAACAGCCCTTCTAATGGGCTGCTTCCCACAAAATGTTTGTGTGGCAGCGGGACTTGGGTTTATCCTGAGGAGCAGAAGAGGGGGTGAAAGAGCGGGTTGATGAGGACCCCTCGGTTAGATCGGATCTAGTTCCTATCTTGTGCTAATCCACGCCAGACTGCTGGCGGTAAGATCCAAAGCAGCATGAAGCAGATAACAGGAGGAGGCTGAGGGGGGCTGCTCAGGGGTGTTTGTAAATAAATCTGGAACCTGGGTTCTGCAGCCTGCTTGGTTATGGTTTTGTGCAAACACAATTACAGCATAAAATGAAAGCAGGCTGTGCAATGAAAACAAGAGGAATGCCATCACCCAGGTTGGCTTGTACTGCAAACCACCCTGGTCAATCATCCGAGATGAATGGAGGTATCCGCTGAATAACCTCACTTTGCAACTTTTATGTGAAGGCTTGATAAATGAAGTCAGGGAGAGGTACAAGAAAGTGATTAAAACCAGCCTGCGCAAAAGGCAATGATAACCTCCCTGAGCTTGGAACTTTTTTTCCCCCTCTTGCCTGAATTTGCTGGATAATTAACCCTTTCGTCCTTYGGGCTCGCAACACAAACATTTGCATCTCGCGCAAAGCAGCGAGCTCCTGGCACGCCGTTTGTCACTC